CTAGACAGAAAAATCGTTATTATCCGGTTTCACTTCATTTTAATTCTAGTGGACATAATATTACAGATATGTCTATTTCTGGTGTATGTGTTGTCAATGGCAACGAAAATCAGCTCAGGCGTGTCGAGGAGGAAACTATATTCCGCCTTGGTACTAAAGAACCCCGTGGTATTAACAAACAGTTCAACTCATTTGTTGAGCTCACTACCTAAGGCGCGTTATTTGTTCTATTGTGGAATTTTTTGTGATTCTAACTTATAGTTCATGCGCGTTCTTACGTTCCTATGTTCTACCTGTACGTTATCACACTTGCTTCTATGCTATCGATAAAGAGCCATTGCTCGAAAAGTCTAGCTATTTTTAATAGTTATTTAGGACTACGATTACCTAATGTTATCTTCAATATATCATACTTATCAGTCCGAGCAGCGTTTATTTATTTATAAACTACAATTATTTAGCTGGTCAAAACCTGCTTGGAATAGTTTTTGAGTCCTGTGTGCGAAGCACACAATGGGAGTTTTTGAGGTTAGTCTGTCTATGTGCATTTGTCTCATCAACATTGTGACAACTTCCATTTAACTTTACACCTACCAAGTGATGACAAACCTACCAAGTGACGACCCTCACTATTTTTGACTCCCGTGTGCGAAGCACAAAAGGGAGTCTTTGCAGTTACCCTGTCTGTATGTCTGTATGTCTGTATGTATGTATGTATGTATGTCACTTTTTTTGTTCCACCGTTATCTCAAGAACCACTAATCAAATTTTGGTGAAACTTGGTACATAGATGCTCTGGGATAATGCGCAGAGTTGATTAAGTTTTGGTAAAAATCTATGAATATTAATTACCTAATTTGCATTATAATTAGCTGATTTTTAGCTGTTCCAAGACTGTTCCACTGATATCTGAAGAACCACTCATTGGATTTTTATGAAACTTGGCACATGGATGCTCTGAACTAGTGCGCAGATTTGATTAGTTTTGGGTAAAAATCTATGAATATTAATTATCTAATTTGAATGATAATTAACTGATTTCAAGCTGTTCCATGACTGTTCCACTGATATTTGAAGAA